GTCAGAACACATCGTTGGTTGGTGATTTTGGTCGAGTCCATGCGACCCCCCCCCCATTAGTTTTCTCCTCTGATAGAGCTGTCGAGCGGGGGAGGTGGGAGGGGAGGGGGTAGATAGCACAAGCGAAATGGGGAAAACTACAAAAAGTCGCCAAAGCACAAAAGCGAAATGGGGAAAACTACAAAAAGTCGCCAACAACTTCTCTCAGAGGGTTAGAAGGGAAATACGACCTCCTTCCCTGGCAACCAAATATGACTCGCCCTCCCCCTTGTTGGGGATGCTCCAACAACGATATGCCCTGGGATGTATACGCAACAGCCAGTAAAACGGGAAAAACTGCGAGAAGTCTTGAGAACCACAAAAAAATTTTGCGACGCGGTGAGTACCCGTCAGAGGCATCATGAATCAACTGGCACCCAGGCATAGCAAGGCAAACCCCCCCCCTTCTAATTGATCAGCAAATTGACTCCGCCTTCACTGATGCCTCCAAACTTTGTAAAGTGGTGCCCGTAACCCCGTCCGCCCATGGAATTTTTCCCGTTTGTTGACTTTTGGCCGCAGTTTTTCTCGTTTCACATTGGCTGTTCCTCCCCACTCCCTCCCCTCCAAGTCGACGTGAAAATTTTCGGGTGAAAAACTGGAAAATGGGGGAAAAATTTGGAAAAACTGGAAGAACTTGTAGGAAAGTGAAAGGTAGGTTCTGGGGAAGGGGGGGGGGGAGGGGTCGTACTGACGCCATCATTTCACACATCACGATGCTGTACCCTGCGTCAGGAATCAATATGTCATTATAAAAAAGTCTCAACAGAGTGGGTCTGGGAATAGGGCGGCAGGTAAGGAAAAGCTTGATATTTGCTTTTTGCGAAACCCATCGGTGCCGTGGAGTGTAACCGTTTGGTTCTAGTCAGCCGCCTGATTAGGATCTCAATGTGCAAAAACATTGGGAAAAACAGCACGAAAGATAAGATGCCGTCAGTTTTTGTGGGACCTCCGCTAGTCACGGGCCTCTTCGACTCCTTTATCTCTCCAAGCCGCTCTGACACGGTTCATTTCATCTTTTACTTCAGTGAAATTTCCCGCATTGGACGCATCTATTTAAAGAATCAAAAGCTGCACTGAAAGCTTTGCTATGCCTGGGTGCCCGTACATTCATGTTGGCCGAGAGCCAATTTTCTAAAAAAATGTTCCTATTTGGGCTCATCAAAAATGGAGCAAAGTTGTTGAATGGGCGTTGTCAGATGAAGTGGATGTTTGGGGTGGGCACACATCGGAATCGACGGGGGCAGGGGCATAATACCCAATGTGGAGAGGATCGATGTGCAAAGGCTAATTCTAGAGCAGCGGCTCGCATTCCACCAGCCAGCCAGCCAGCCATTGCCCTATTGTTCTTTCTACACCGCCTTTACTCGGCCAGTTAGCCACATTAGTGGGCAGTTGTGTTTATTAGTTCCGAAACATTTCTGGCTAGTTTTATTTGTTTTTGACGAAAAGAAAAAATAAACCCAACAAATTGAATCAGCTTATGGCCATTTCTATCCTGTTAATTGTTGCCCTTTTTGGGGAGGTTTGCTAAGGAGGGGCTTCTTAGGCACCGAAAAGGTTTGTTGGGCAAGACTCTATTCGTTGAGAAAGACTCACAAGATCTAAAAAGAATCTCACAGTTTTGCAAAGAATTTTTTTTGCAATTGTGGACCCTGCCTCCGCTGCTATGAAGCAGCTACCTTTTGACACAATTGTTGGCTAGTTTTATTTGTTTTTGAAACCGATCAATTTGAATCAGCTTATGGCCATTTATTCCTGTTAATTGCTGCACTTTCTATGCAGGCTCGCTAGGAAGGGGCTTTTTCAGGCACCAAAAAGGTTTGTAGGAAAATTCTATCTGTAGGGGAAGGCTCCAAAGACCCAAAAGGAATACCCAGCTCATGCAAAAATTTTTCGCAATTTTTCGCTACTCAGAACCTTACTCAGTGGTCCGGCCTCCGCTGAGATGGAGCAGCTATCCTACGAAGAATTCTCTGGCTACTTTTATTTTTTATTTTATCCTTTTTGTTTTTGACGAGATTGACAACCACGTATTCGAACCAGCTTTTGGCCAGTGCTGTCTTGTTAACTGCTGTACTTTATGGAGAGGTTTACTGGGGAGAGGGCTTTTTCAGGCACCAAAATTTTTATTGCAAGAGACTCTAAAGCTCTAAAAAATGTCCCAGCTTTAGCAAATTTTTTTCTCAGATATTTTGGCACTTAGCAACTTTCTCAGCAATATGTACTCTTCCTCCGCTGGTATTGAGCAGCTTCCCTTACAGGAGCCCCACCTCGAGGTTTTGACTTTCAACTTTCGATTTTAATTTTGGTTTTCTAGTTTCTTTTGAAGGACTCTTTGTGCAGAACTCGAGACGGGATTACCGTATCGGAAACTGGTGACTGATGCCGTTTGGACGCGCTCAGTTTTGGCTGCTGGCTCTTATGAAGTGCCTAGATCACCAAATTCGTTGAAAACTTTGTGTACAGGGGTTTTTTAGCATCCTCATTCCGAATAAGACAGTCATTCTTGGCGCTGGCGCTAATGGAGAGCACTAAAATCATCTGGCTCTGCTAAGGCTGAGCCCAGAATGAAGGGAATCGCTCCTACTAGGCTCAGCCTTAGCGCTGAGGGGTGGGGGAGAGGAGTGAGTAAGGTTCTACGGCATCAGTCAAAGTGATTTCGGTTCACCGGCCGTCCCACTCAATCTTCACTTTCGTGGGAAGAAAAGCACAAGGTGTCCTTTAAAGGACCCTACTCGCTGGTCGACTTGCTCTCCACTTTAAATACTTCAGTAGATTCGTTTAGATTCGTAGTTCAGTAGATTCGTTCAAATGATCCAGTTCTTGTCAATAAAAACGCCAACGTTTGCCCTTCTGAAAGAGCCCACTATGTACTATTGCTTGGCTCTTCGAGATTTCCTTGAATTTTCTTGCAACGTTCGCGTTTTGATGGAGCGTTTTCCACTTTCTGCGGCAAATCCGTCAATCCCACTGGGAGACCAATTCAGCTGTGTTTTCTCGTCTACAAAATGTCACATCGTTGCAGTTGGAAGACCAGAACGAGCGTCTCCGCCTACAAAATCTACGATGTACGACGCAGCTGCAGATGTTGAGGAGCTTCACTGAAAAAAGCAAACAATTGAAAGCAGAAATGGCGATGAGTAGAAGCATTACGGTTAGTTTTCCTTGGCTATTTTGGAAAAATTTAGTTCCAGATTTTATCTCGGAAACTTTCTGAATTACTTTGTTACTTTGCCGGTTGCGTGATTAGAACCCAATCAGATTAACTTTATAAAACCGAGTAACTGGAACCCTACCCCTTTGTTCTTATTTTCTTTACCTCCTTCTCATTTTCTCAGTAAATTCGCTAATCGGAAAAAAAGTCGACGTCATCTGTTTCGAATGCAAATGTTTGGTTTCGATCAAGGTTTTTCTGATAGTGGAAAGCGTAGTGGCTCAGTTTTATCGGCGCCACAAAGGCGTGAACGAATGTGCACTTGTCGCCCATCATCCTGCACATTTTATAGTCCCATGCTCTCGAAATGCATTTTCAGGGAACTCTTCCTGTGATGCGCGACACTGAGAATCGAACCTCTGACGACTCCGGGCTCACCAGTGACGACACCAGCGAGCGTCGCCAACTTGGTGACAGTGTCATCGAGATTGCTACGCCAAGGCAGCAGCGAAAACCAGGTGAGGCTGTTCAGTTATCAGCTTTGAGTTAAAATTAGCCTGCAAACCTTTGTTCTTGATTGCGGTACCAAACCCGGAAACCAGTAAGCGAGCTATAGCCGTGCTGAAGGTTCTGAAGTTATTCTCGTTCAATAAGCATACCCATATTTTTGATCGATTTTTTCAATCTTTATCTTATCCCTTATCTCGAAGGGAAATTTTATGAGAATCGCCGTAGAATCTCCTCCTGGTCTACCCCTTTGGCGGATGAAATGTTTATCCCTTTTTGAAAATTCAAGGGCACAAGAGTGACTCTTTAGAGCAGACCATGCGAACCGACTGTTCCCTCAGTTGAAATACGATCCCTTTTGGGGAATGACCCAACGAGGGGTTATAGAGAGCAGTCATGTTGGAATAGTTAAGGAGCATTATTAT